ATAATAATAATAATAATAATAATAATAATAATAATAATAATACCGAAGCAACTAGTCCGATGTCAGTAAGTAAAAAAAAAGAGAAAAAAACGGTGGGGGGAGGACTTTTCTCCATCTTTCAAGATCGGCAAGGCCAATTTACCGATCGATTATTACTTCCGTCAGTTTCTCAACCATCGCGGACCACTGTTTGTAAACATTTTTCTGGAACAGCGCGCGGCCGGAGCGAGCGAAGCCAAAGAACCGAAAGGCGTCGGTACGTATGCGCGGAGAAACAAAGAGGAGCCAAGACACCGGGCTTGTGCCAGACAAGGAAGAGCTCGAAAAAGAAGGGAGGGGCAGGAAACGTGGTGAAAACGTAGCGATGGGACTAATCCGATTATATCGTTTCTGAATCGTACAATCAATCTCTGCATCACCGACGATCGTTCAGCTCGATTACGCGAAAATTAGCGAGTTAATTATTACGATGTGTATATATATATATATATATATATATGTATGTATCACAATGTTGAACTGAAACAATAAAGATTTCACGAATGAATCGAAGGGATTGACGATGATAACAGTGGTTAGTGGTTAATTAACCAGACGATCTCTTCATTGACAACGGCGACGACGATCAGTGGAACGCGAATACCTGACACATTTATTTATTTTAGATGCGTAACGCCAGAGGCTCGCCTCGTCAGTTCCGAGAGCCGATGGGAATAATAACGTTGGTCAGTTGAGAAAACGGAGACACTTCGAGGCAATTCAACGACTTCTCGTGAAATAGTTTTTCGAATTTCATCGAGAACAATTAACGGACCATATGTATATATATATATGTATATATATATTCCACACATCAGCCTGATGGGATAGCCAATGAATTTCTACGATGCAAACCGTTTGGAACGGAGTTCTAACACCGAGTTCACGAGTAGGTCGTTCCCATCGCTAGAGCCGAGGCTACGATCGTGGCGGTCGTACGGGCAAAAAGCGACGGGTAGGCCGACAACTATCGCGGGATATACCTAGGATCCGGCAGGATGATCTTCTTGCTCGCACGGGCAGCCGGTGTGCTCTTGCTCTTCTCCATGGCCATCAAGTAGCTGACGTCGGCCAGCACCGCCTCGAGGTCCGCCATTTTCCTCCGTGGTCTCTTAAATCTGTACGTTGGACACGGCTCACCCTGGAGCTGTATTCTCGACGGCACTCTCTCGGCTCACTGTCGCGTACCGCGCGTTCTTCTCACTGTCGCGACGCCGGGAACGCTGCCGACGCCGACATTCTGACCGACGACGACGACGACGACGACAACCGACGTACCGTGCACCGAACTTCGCGAGACTGACAGCTCTGTCGGGTATCTACGCGCGATTTCCACCGAGGGAACCACCGATTCGACGGGCTCTCTCCGCGCGCGCGAGGTTAACGACACTCCCTTCGGGGCACACAACATACAATCACCCGCGTTATTTTGCCGAAACGTTCACGCGGGCGACGCGCAGTCGATTTCCCAGCTGCTCATCCTGAGTCTTTCCGTCGGTGAAAAATAATCGGACGGGGAATGTGCAGCCGAAACGCGGTTTTATACGCGATCGCGTTCACGGCAACGATAACATAGGTAAAGTCGTGGGGGAAGCTACTGCTTACCGACTGACAGCTACAGAGCCACGAAGCCTCGAGCCCGCGCGCACTTGTACGCTGATTGGCGGATCGCTCCGTGTTCGTTTCGCCTCTCTTTTTCGCCCCCTCTCCACTGGCTTGCTAGCGACCCCTGTTATCGACACGGCCAGTCAATTTGCCGTTGGCTAACAATTCTTCTCTTTGTTTATCGACAGTTAATTTTTATAAACTTTTCGCAATTTTCACTCGTAAACAACGTTCAGTGCTATTACTATGGACGATCGATCAATGACGATTGCAAAAAATAAACGATTACGTGGAAACTGACCGTTGAGAGAAAATAAAAAGAAATTGTTATCCAATATCGGTAAGAAAGGTGGCTACTAATCATATTCGAAATAACTACCTATACGACTGTTGTATATTTTTGAAAATTTTTATTTTTCGAAAAATAATCCACGAATTAATATTGTAGTCAAAGTGGATTTTCATAGAAAATTAGCAGATCCGAAAAACCGATCGTCATTTTGAATTTTGAGAGATCATTATAACCTCAAATTCGTCGAGTGGTGATGTAAAATAAATTGTAAAAACCAATATACTTGATTAGCATACTAGCAATGAACATCTTGCCAATGAACGAAACGTCAAAAACGAAGTTCTAAAGTCCAACGAAGACAACGATCCACCCCTGTAACGGCGAGTTTCTCTCGACACGATCTATTTGAAATGTTATTCCGCGCGCTTTATCATTCAATGCAATTCATTGTATTTCGTCTATTTTATTTTCTAAACGTTACGAGCAGCATCGATGAAGTTGAGCCAGACTTGTGAGAAGCAACGATCGCAATGGAGCAAGAACGTGTTCACATTGATGACAACGTAACTGTCCTTAGGCAAATGTATGCGAAAATTCCTTTAAACAAAAATAAAAAAACGATAGCGTAAGTTATTTGAAGCTAACTGAAAAGAAACATTCCCGAAACATTTATTTTCGCGTCGACTCTTCGCTTTAAAAAAAAGAAAGAAAGAAAAAAGAAAATAGATTGGATGCAATATCGCCTTTCACTTAAAAATTCTACGATGCAATGTTTAGTTTATTGGAATATACTCGGATCGATCGTATGTTAGCCGATAAGAGGACATTGTTTTAGAGACATCGAGCAAGATATTCTTTGCATATGTTACACGGAGACCTATGACTTTTTGGCGGCAGGCCTGACAGATGGTTCGGTGAAACTGTACAAAACCAGCTCGGACGAAGTGTTGACGCTGTGCGACGTTGAAATGTTGCAGCAACCAGCTCCGACGACCGCGGTTAAGCACAGGCCTGTCCACAGATCTCATCCAATCTCGTGCACCGTCACTGCAACCTGTTAGTTGTACACGTAGTATAGTTTATTTTTAACAACGCTGTCAAATCATAGGACATACTTGATCGACTCGTAGATGCTAATGGCTGCGTCAAGTGTTGGCATTATCCAACGTCACAGTGCCTTTACACGATACGAGAGAATAGGCAGATATTAGGTTTGACTTACCATCTTCATCTGCCAAAGTTCGTAACCACAGGCGACGACGCGAAGCTCGTCCTTTACGACGAAGAGACGAAAACGCAGGAAAGAGTGTTTCACGCGAGGTTCGTCACTTTTTATTGAAACGTAATCAAAATACAGAGAGAGGTTCAAGATTCCAGTCATTGTTGAATTAGAACTCATCATCATCAGTCGTTCGAATATGATTGCGAATCAGCAAACCCTACATTTGACCATTGCGCACTCGGCAATCTCTACAGACCAATCAAATGCTTCAGATGAGAATCGCTTTGCCTCGACAGGTCTACATCTTGTAACAACGTTCCGGAGAATGGAAGACTTCAAAGTCACCTTGATCTCGTTAAACGTGATTGCAGTTCATTTCTGATCAAGAGTAACTACTCAAGGTCGTTTCAAATCAAATAAACTCGCGCTAGGTGTCCACTGGCCAGTAGATTTTCCAGTTAAACAGATAGAGTAATCGCTCTACTTTTCCTACGGCACATCTAACTCGATAAAGTTTATTATTATTTTCTTTTCTTCTTTTATTTAAAGATTCCATTTAAAAAATATAGCATAATTTGCAGGTGGAGCTGTTTCGCGAATAATCTTCTACAACTACCCTTTACTTTGTGTTACTATTACTATTACATGTGGCTTACACATATCCGATCCCTTCTTATCGCCATGCTATAAAATAATCGTTACAAGGAAAGGATTTAATTTTGTCAGAAAGGCACGTGAAAATTACACAAAGGGGACGATAATTAGGCAGTGTTAGGCTCACGATACTTATGTCTGCGTTCTCATTACTTAAAATGTAATTACCTGCTACGAAGAATTGTAGTTTCGCTAACAGTAATTCAGAGTGGCTTCAGTTTCAATTCGTTTATACAACAATTGCGTGAAGATAGCAAGAAAAGTCACTATAACAAGCTGCAAGAAGTAGCAGAAAGCTTTTTCTCGAAGTTTGCTAAAATTCAATTCGCTCGATAAACTTTAACATACAAGTATCTCTCTTTTACCTAACTACCTTCTTCTTTTCACGTTGTTTCAGCGAGTCGTTGGAAGTCATGGACGGCCATACATCTAGAGTGTTCGGCGTATGTTTCAACCCTAGATCATCACACGAGCTGATCAGCGGCGGTTGGGACAATACCATTCAATTCTGGGACATTAGGCAACCGTATTCTCTCAGGAGAATATCGGGCGTGCACATGTGCGGCGACGCGCTCGACATCAGCAGGAACGGGAAAGAGGTGTGTATACTTGCATCCAGAATTCAGAAGTCAAATTGTTTCCATCTTCAACACGTTCTTATTCATACGGCGATGTATATAAAAATTGTAGGTGTTCGTTCTTTTTGAAACCAGATTCTGGTCCCGAAACGACGCATCCGCTCACTCGTCGCGTTCTCTCTTCTTTTTTTCTTTTCTTCCACCTCCACCCCTCCTCCCCCAACAAATTCGAAATTGCTCGCGACGGTTAGACAATTTATATTTTTACAATTGTTAATCTTCGTACGGTAGACGGTGGGTCAAGTTGATCTTATGACAGTTTTTAATCCATCTGGCGGAGGACGACTTCTTTTCAATCGAGAACAGTTAAAAAAAAAAAAAAGCATTAAAACAGGGCAGTATTATATACGTTTCGAGTAAAAACGTGGAATTTGAGTATAAATCAACTTTCAACGTTTTACGTTGCAATCTCTTTTTCATTTTACCCCTCACATTTTAATAGTTTCACGTACAGAGTAACGAAAAGAAAAGAAAAGAAAAAAAAAAAAAAAGATAAAATTGATTTATCAAACGAAAATTTACAGCTTTATACAATAAAGACATACGTTGGGCAGTAGCATAGCATATAAAAAGCAGTCATAGTCGTTTCATCAATTTACAAAATCATCGACACACATATTCTTAATTACTTTGTTCACAAAATCACTTCAACGTGGAAGGAACGTACATTTGAAAATCGTAAAATCTTTACACATTTAACACTAGATCTTTATATCACTCAAAAGTCAATGAATCAAACGATCTGAATCTTTCTTTCTTTTTTTTTTTTCTTTTTTTTTCATTCGATCAATACGCAATTCGTCGAGTCAAATTGACCCAACGCTTACCCTATATAAGAGTTAAACCATCATCATGTATAACAATCTTAGTCGCTTAATAATTCTTATCCGTCT